ACAACAACAGCAGCAACAGCAGCAGCAGCAGCAGCAGCAGCAGCAGCAGCAGCAGCAGCAGCAGCAGCAGGAGACGTACCATAGTATGATTGTTGCTGTTGATAATTCCACGAATCATCTGCACAGTATTCCATTTGCTGCTGCCCATACATATCTTGCTGCTGCTGCTGCTGCTGCTGCTGCTGCTGCTGCTGCTGTTGCTGCTGTGCATACATATCTTGCTGCTGTTGTTCTTGTTGGTGCTGTTGCTCTTGCTGCTGCTGCTGCTGCTGCTGTTGCTGAATTGCTGCTGCTGCTGCTGCTTCTGCTCTTCTTTTTCTTATCTCTGCAGGGGAAGGACCAGAGACACAAAGGAGATGTGTTGCATCAATAAGATTAAGTTTTTTTCTTTCTTCTTCTTGCTGCTGCTGTCTTGCTGCTTCCTCTTGCTGCTGTCTCTCCCTTTCTTCTGCTTCTGCTGCTGCTGCTGCTGCTCTTGCTGCTGCTGCTGCTCTTGCTGCTGCTTTTGCTGCTGCAGCAGAACGTTTCTCCTCTTCTTGTTGTCTTTTGCGGTTTGCTTCCTCCAACAGCTGCACAAACAAAAACAGCAGCAACAGCAGCAGCAGCAGCATCAGCAGCAGTAGGATATTTGTTTCTCTTGCATAGATTCTTCCTTTGCTGCTGTTGCTGCTGTTGCTGCTACTGCTGCTGCTGCTGCTGCTGCTGCTGCTGCTGAATTGTTTACCTGTTTACTTAATGATGCAGCAACAGTATTATTAACAGTATAACATCCCATGGCTTTTAATGAACGAGATAACTCAGCAGCTGTACGATTGTATATAGCAGCTGCAGCACAACAATCAGCAGCAGCAGCAGCAGCAGCAGCAGCAGCAACAGCAACAGCAGCAGCAGCAGGAGAAGAAGATTCATATCATTGATGGATTCTTTGTTTCTTTGTTATTCAATCAACAGCAATAGCAACATCTAACTATTACTACTACTACTACTGCTGCTGCTGCTGCTATTGCTGCTGCTGTTGCTGCTGTTGCTGCTGCTGCTGTTGCTGCAGTGTGTGTATGTTACCTTGTTCGTTAGGTACACTGATGACGTTGAGTGCATCATTGCTATTAGGAGGAATAAGGAGAACATTGGTGCCGCTGCAGCAAGTAGCTGCTGCTGCTGCTGCTGCTGCTGCATCATCTACAGCACATCTAATATTACCAAGACCTAAAGCAACAGATTGTGGTGGTGGCCAAGACACAATAGGCTGATCCCTTGTTGCTGCTGCTGCTGCTGCAGCTGCTGTTGCTGCTGCTGCTGTTCCTTCTGCTGCAGTTCCTGTTCTTAATCTTGTTCCTCCTTCTGCGTGTTTCTGTTGCTGCATTTGTTGCTGCTGTTGCTGTTGCTGTTGCTGTTGCTGTTGCTGTTGTTGTTGGTGTTGTTGCTGTTGTTGTTGTTGCATCTGTTCTTGTTTATCGGTAAGATAATGATTAGTAGTATTAATAGGTAATTGTAGTGTATGTACACCTAATCTATGAGTAAGAGATGCTAATGTTGGTGTCTTTGTATTCCTTATTATACAAAGAGGAGCAGAAGGAGCTGCCTGGAAAAAAGGAGAACCTGTTAGCGACGAAGGGATATATGCACTCCCTACAGCTGCAGCACAACAACAACAGCAGCAGCAGCAGCAGCAGCAGTAGTAGTAGTAGTAGTAGTAGTAGTAGTTGTTGTTGTTGTTGTTGTATGAGTTGATTGAATGGAAAGGGAGAGCGGTAAGAGGAACAGCAGCAACAGCAGCAACAGCAGCAACAGCAGCAACAGCAGCAACAGAAACAGCAGCAACAGCAAAAGGAACAACGGAAATTGGAATCGGTACAGCAGCAGGACAGCAGCAGCAACAGCAGCAGCAGAAGCAGCAGCAACTAACAACTAGCTAATTAAATATAAATAAATAAATAAATAAATACCTGCAGCAGCAAGACATTGAGGAGGACGAACATTAGTAGGTATAAGACGTCCTGTTGGTTGTGCAGCAGAAAGAGAAGAAGAATGTTTTATTATAACAGGTAGTGCTGCTGCTGCTGCTGCATCTATTGAATCTATTTGCTGCTGCTGCTGCTGTAATTGCTGCTGTAATTGTTGATGCATCTGCTGCTGTTGTTCATTGTGTTGCTGCTGTATATGCTGATGCTGCAAATGCTGCTGCTGCAGTTGCTGCTGCAGCAGCAGATTCACTGGTGCATGCTGCATGATGGTTGCTGCAGCAGGAGGGGAGGGGAGAAGAAGAAGGATTGGTTTGCTGCTGCTTGCAGTGTATAGAGAGAGAGGAGGTGAGGATACACCTGAGGACCAGCAATAAAAGAGTTACTTTGTCTTTTCTTATCAATACAAAAAGAGAAGAATAAGGTAAGAGAGAATTGCAGATTATACAGCCAAGAAGACGGTACTGTTGCTGCTGCAGCTCCTGCTCTTGTTGTTGTTGTTTCTGCTGCTGCTGCTGCACGGTGGTGGTGTGTTGTTAAGCAGCAAATTGCTGCTGCAGTTATCTTGAAGACTCTGCGTGTTGTACAATTCTTGCTGCAGTATTCAAGGAAGAAAAACTCCAGCAGCTGCAGCAGCACATGTAACAGCTACTGTTGCTGCCGCAGCTGCTGCTGGCTTGCTGCTGCTGCCTGCTGCTGCTGGCCGTCGTCGTCGTCGATGCAGCTGTCAAGAAGGTCAAGAGGGAGGTGTTATTTTATGCTTGTTGCTGCACACTAAAGAAGAAAGAAAGAAGAATTAAAGTAAAGATGATTCAATATGAACAACAAAAGATGCATATACACCCCAAGTTGTTGTGCTGCTGCTGCTGCTGCTGCTGCTGCTTCAGACAAGAGAATCGGAACCGCTGGATGCTGCGCCGACGATGGCCATATATCTCGAGGCGGCGGCCTCGCCGTATACTTATCATCTTCTGCTGCATTTCTTCTTAATTTTTTTATGAATTAAATTAAATTAAATATAAATATACATAAAAATTCATTTTTTATTTTCTTATTTCTCTTTTATACACCTAAATTCGCCTAACAAACAAGCACCGCTGCCCGCCGTCGTTTCAGCTTTCTTCCTTCACGACCGCCCGTACAATTCTTGGCTGTCTGTCGTTTTTTTCCGTTTTTCCCCCTAAAATTAATTAAACAAAATTAATTGTTCTTAAAATATAAACAAAATTTACTTTTTTTATCCAATTAGGCGGAAAAATGACGAAGATCAGCCCACTCTACCGTCTGCTGTAGAAAGCGCCGCCGGTCCTCCTCCCTTATACACATTGTTTTCTGCTGTCTATACAATCTTTAGGGAAGAAAAAGAAGAAAAACAAAAAGAAGAAATATATAAAAATAAATTTAAATAAATAAATATAAATAATTCATTATTTTTTTATTTATACACTAAAGGTAGTGTATTCTATTTTGTTCTGTTTATTCGCTGAGTACATGAATTATTTCCTTATTTCTTCTTGTTGCTGTACATAGATACTCTGTCTAATCTTCTATAAGTGCCGTTATATAATATAATATGTCTGTTGTATTGACGGCAATATTCATAAATGTATACAAAGAGAAGAAATAAAAAGGAAATAAAAAAAGAGGAAAGAGAAGAAAACAAGAAATATCTTTTTTTCTATATATAATGCGTGTAATTTCTCGAGTGTATATACACCCGAGAGTAACCTCTAATAGTTTTAGCGCTTTCCTTATTCAACTATTTCTTGTTCTTTCTTTTTCTTTAATAAATATATTTATAGAAGAAAAACACACATTAATTTAGCGACAAATAACTTTATTTATCTTAATTTACCCTATATTGTCTGTGCTAAGAAGACAACAACTACTTAGTGCAGGTATACAATAAGAGGAGGATAAGGTGTATACACACCATCTTTTTCCTTTTATTTCTTTCTAAAGAATTATACAGAATTCCCTTTTATGTTTTTTATTTTTTTTTAGCTCGTGAATCAGCCCTGTGTGCTGCATCCTCCTTGTTACGGTGTATGTACAACAGCAGCAGCAACACATGTTGTCTATAAATATATTTTAGCTGCTGCTGTCTGCACACGGAGGAATTTATAACTTAAAGGATAAAAGAATAAGAGAAAATCCTTAAATATAAAATTGCTGCTGTTGCAGCAGCAGCAGCAGCAGCAGCAGACATCCCTGAGCAACAGTGAGCGGAGGGAGGGCAGCATATGAGCAGCAGCAGCAGCAGCAGCAGTAGCAGCCGAGGGGGCCATGAATCCTCCTCCTCCTTCTTCTTCTTGTCTAAGGTAAATAAATAAATAATTTATTTTATTTATTTTATATTTTTTATATAAAAAGAATAAAAAAAAAGAAATAAAAATAAATATTAATAAATACACACACAGACAGCAGCACAGCACTCCATTGTTGCTTGTTACATACAACAAGCACGAGAAGGCAGCAGCAGCAGCAGCAGCAGCAGCAGCAGCAGCAGCAGCAGCGAGCTGCTGCTGAAGAAGAGGATATGATGATGAGAGAGAGCAGGAGGAGGAGGCATGAATTGTAGGTATTTATTCTTCTTTTTTTTTATTTATTTATTTTATTTATTCTTTTTTTTTTCTTTTATTAATATTATATTTATTTAATTAAATAAAAAAAAAGTTCTTTTTTTCTTTGTCTCCTCCTTATCTGTCTCTCTTCTCTCTTATACTCTCTCCTTCTCCCTCCCTCTCTCTTCTTCAGGCTTGCTGCTGCTGCTGCTGCTGCTGCTGTTGCTGCTGCTGCTGCTGCTCTGCTGCAGCAGCAGACCAGCGACAGCTGCTGTGTATGCTGTCTAGTCTTCTTTGCTGCTGCTGTTTATATAAATGATTTATTATAACTCTCTTTGTTTATTTATGTCTTCTTATTGTCTTATAAGACCTATTATACACCTGATTTATAGCTGCCCCACGACACCGCGGGCGCCTGCTGCTGCTGCTGCTGCTGCTGCTGCTGTTGCTGCTGCTGCTGCTGGACTTACACTTGCCGTTTCCTCCAGCCGCTGCTGCTGCTGCAGCTATGGTCTACACTTTTGCTTTCTTTTCTTTGCTGCTTCTTCGTCTTCTTGTCCTCAATTAGGAGGTTTTTCTTCATCTACAGCAGCCCACCGCCTCCAACTGCAGCAGGAGCTACAGCAGCAGCAGCAGCAGCAGCACCAGCAGCAGCTGCAGCAGCAGCAGCAGCAGCAGCGCGGCGCCGCCGCTGCGGCAGCAGCAGCAGCAGCTCTTGCTGCTCCTCATCGCATTCCTCTTTTTAAGAGTTTTAAATCCAATTGTAAATCAATTGCGTGCTGCTGCTCTCTTACCACATAAACAGCAGCAGCAGCAGCAGCAGCAGCAGCAGCAATTAACTGTTGCCTGTTGCTTGGGGCGCGGCGGCGGCTCAACAACACAGCTGCAGCAGCTGCAACAGCTGCAGCAACTGCAGCTGCAGCAACATCAGCAACAGCAGCAGCAGCAATTGCAACAACAACTGCTGATCTGCTGCATCGATTGGTGGATACTTGTTGCGTGTGTGGCCTCTGCCTGCTGCGCAGAGTCCCTGCAGCAGGGGGCCCTAAGGGGGCCCTTTTGCTGCTCTTCCTTCGTATGAGAAGGAGCAGCAGCAGTATCTTCATCAACAGCAGAAGCAGCAGCAGCAGAAATAGAAGCAGCAGCAGCAGCAGCACGCTGTCTCTGCAGCTTCCCATGCACATCCCGATCCTTCTTATCTGTCCAAAGTTCACAACGGGTGCGGTGGGGCCCCAAAGACAAACATTGGC